TGTTCTTGTAGCTATTCAGATAGTGATTGTGGTGGAGACGTAGATGATTGTAGAAGCACATCTGGTTATGTTTCAAATATGGAAGTACTGCTTGTTCATGGCCCTCTAAGAAACAATCAATTGTTGCTCTTTCAACTTGTGAAGCTGAGTATGTTGTTATAGCTTCAAGTGCATGTCAAGTAGTTTGGTTACGCAATTGTTGAGTCAAATTCATTGTTCAATTGAAGGACCTATGAAGATCTTTGTTGATAATACCTCTGCAATCCGTTTGGCAAAAAATTTAGTTACACATGGAAGAAGCAAGCACATCAGCACTCGTTTCATTTCTGAAGCAGCAAATTGAAGAATAGGTGATGAGTTGAGTACTAAAAGTTTGAAAACTAGGTTGCTGCAATCTTCACCAAGCCATTGAAGTATGAAGCTTTTGCTAAGATGAAGTGGTTGCTTGGAATGATTACTCCTCCAAATTTGGATTAGGAGGATGTTGGCATAATCCCGATTCTACAGCATTCTCCTTACTATTTTGATAAGTCATCTAATTTATTGGAGTCATTTTTGGTGGATTATTTTAGGGAGTCATGCTTATTCTACTGTTTGCTATTTAGTGACACATGAATGATGAAATGGAGTATGTAAGTTTGAGTTTAGGTGTTTGGTTAGTAGTGCCTTAAAAATAAAATTCCAGGTGTCTTCACACTATTATAAATAATGGTCACTTATGTGTGACTTGTGTGATCATATTATTAATTTAACAGTAGTCATTCTCCTCTAAAAGTTTAAGTTTCTTCTATTCTCTGTGTCTCACAATACTATTAAACTCATTAAAAGTAAATTCACCCCACCATCAGTTCATAAAACTTTGATGGAGTAACCACTCTACCTTTCAACATGTGCCTTAAATTTCTTAAAATAGCCAAAAACTTTAGATTTCCATTTCGAAAGTAGACCCAAATTTCCTTGTAAATCATCAATTAAAGTAAGAAAATACCTATTGTTACCATTTGACATAACGGTCATGGGCCACACACATAGAATGAATGAGCTCAATGGTTGTAATGCACGCTGATTCTTTTCGCTACAAAAGGCAATTACTATGTTTCCTAAGAATGCAAGCCTCACACAGTTGTTCGGATGATGTATACTAGGCAATCCTTCAATTATTGCCTTGAGCAAGTAGCTAAACTGTGAAAATTTACATGACTAAAACGAAAGATGCCACAACCAGACTCATCTTTTGATAACATTGAGGCATGCATAAACATCACTGGCAATATCAACTCGAACATACGATTTTTTATTAAAGGAGCCTTAAGAATGAGTGTACCTTATGTATCAACAATGGAGAGTTGATTATTACTCAAACACTATCATACCCTTTTTCAGCAGCTGACCATACTTAGTAGATTGCTTTTCATATCTGGCACATAGAACACGTTAGAAAGATTTGTGATCTCCAGTCTACAACTTGATGAGGATTCTTCCTTTTCCCATCATGGTATGGTATTTTCATCAACAAACTGACCTTGAGTGAATGATTCATCCAAATAACAAGAGATCTTTTTTACCACACATGTGATTCATCACCCGGTGTCAAGAAACAAGTGTGATGGTTTGGTGATTATTGGTGTAGTAACCATTAAAAGAGCATGGTTTCCATTGTTAGCTTTTTGTGCACAATTTACCCTCTGATTATCTCCTTAGATCTACACTCACTAGCATAATGACCACGTTCGTGACATGAGTAGCATTCAACATTAGATTTGTCATACTTCGTCTACTGCGACCACGGCTCAACCTTTATAATTTGTATTTGTTGATGGCCAAAATCCGATTCTTTTTGATCATATGCTGGTTGCCTCTACCTCCATGATTTATTGTAACACCACGCCTCTATTGTTGGAGTAGTAACCTCTACATCCACATCCTTTATTGTGAGAACATTATTCACTGGTTTGATTGGCATGTTGCTCATCTTTGATAGAGACTTGGCTTTGGAATGCTTGCTCTATTGGCTTCCTGATTTCTTCTCATTCATATGTTGTTCGTGGGCTTGCAACATATTGGATAACTCATCAACATCATTGCAGACAAATCTTACACTCTTCATTGCCAACACAACATGCTCAAACAGGGTCATAAGTGTTCACAAAATCTTCTCCACATTGGTCTGATCCTGTGTCCTCTCCATAGATTTCATTTGATTTGTCAAAGCAAGAATTGACTTATGTAGTCAGTGATAGATTTAGACGATTCCATTGTAAAAGTTCATATGACGTCTTAAAGTTTGAAGTCTCACCTTTTAACTTTTCTGCCCCCTTAACATCAAAGATATCCCAAGCTTGCTTTGACGATTCGGCTCTTGCAATCTTCTTAAATGCATCATCATTCACTCCTTAATGAATAAAAAACAAGCCTTCCTATCCTTCTTCTGTTTCTCGATAGGTGCTTTGTTGTGCTTCAGTTGTATTCTCACTAGGATCTAAGACTCCAGTCTCCACAACAACTCGTGATAGTCAAAAAGCACTCTCATTTGAGCACTCCATCTATTATAATTTTTGTGCAAGACGGTATTGAAAGCTAGACTGAGCCGTTCATAGTTTTGGCTTTGATAACACTGAAGAAAAATAGAGACAAAAAGATAGGAGCAAGACTTAAACTTTAGAGAAGAATGACTCATATTAAATTAATATAAACTTCACCAAGTCAACATAAAGTGACATTATTATATAGTTTGAAGACACCTGGACTTTTATTTTTAAGGCACTACTAACCAAACACCTAAACTCGGACTGAATCCACTTTCATCATTACGTCACTAAAATAGCAACAATAGGTTGTGTTTGTTTCATTATTCCAAATACTATCCTATCCATATATATTCAAAATACATATTTGTTTCAATATTCTCAAAATTCAATCATATTCTATTCAACTCAAAATATTTAGATTTTTTAACCCCTAGGTTTGTTAATTTAAAAAACACCTCAAATAAAAAGTTTATAAATTGACAAAAACACCTCCACCACCCAATACTCCAAGCAGCTGGCCACCACCACCGGAATGGCGCATGACCAACTGGTTGTGGCTGGTAGGGGCTGATATAGTATACTTGTTGGAATTGTATTGAAACAGAAAGAAAAATGGAAATTAATACATATTCTAAAGAAAAATAAAGACATAGAGAATAGGAGCAAGACTTAAACTTTTAGTGGAGAATGACTATTGTTAAATTAATAATAAGACCCCACCTAGTCACACATAAAGTGGCATTATTTATAATAGTGTGAAGACACCTTGACTTCTATTTTTAAGGCACTACTAACCAAACGCCTAAAACTTGGACTTACATGACTCCACTTTCATCATTTACGTGTCACTAAAATAGCAACAATAGAATAATCTTGACTCCACTACAACATGACTCCAATAAATTAGATTGACTCATTCAAAATAGTAAGAAAGATTGTTGTAGAATTGGGATTAATTCCAACATCCTCCCTTAATCCAGATTCGAATGAGTAATCATTCCAAACAACTGCTTCAACTTGGCAAAAGCTTCATACTTCAACGGCTTGGTGAAGATGTTAGCAACCTGGTTTTCAAACTTGCAGTACTCCAACTCAATCACCTTTTCTTCAACTTGTTGCCTTAGGAAATGAAAGCGGGTGCTAATGTGCTTGCTTCTTCCATGTGTAACTGGTTTTTTTGTCAGACTGATTCCAAAAGTGTCCTTCCAAGCATGCTTTATACGTGAAGATTAATGATTTTGGTGATGCCATACTGCTTTGTCTTTACGTTGATGATTTAATCTTTACGGGCAATTGATACGTTTACAAGTCTTAAAACACTTGTAAACATGAGTGGACAACGAATTGCAAGTCCTAAAACACTTGCTAATTTGGTTGAATTGAAGAATTTCACTCCAAGTCCTAAAACACCTGGATTGTGGAATGTGGAAAGCAATGGAGGAAATTCGGCCCAAGCAAGTTCCAAGGAGGGAAAAAGTCCAAACATTTCGGCCCAAACCATTCCAAGTCCAAGCCCAACAAGGAAAGCTGAAGCCCACTAAAAAAGAAGTCCAAGTGTTGAAAATGTCCAATCCAACCCAAGTCTTATTCCAAAAGGGAAGATCTACATGAACCCTTATTGGATCTATTGGCATGATTCTCAAAGGCCAAATTCTTACACCCTTATTAGTAGACTTAATTATGATCATTGATCAAGTTTTAATCTAATGAAATAAGCCTATTTCAACAAAGGAGGTGGTTAAAGACATAGATCCTAGAATTATGGAATTATATCTCTTTTGCATTAAATAGGCATGGCCTTGCTTTTTGAATGAATGGCTTGTAATATTAGTTAAGTTTATTTCATTTTAATGTATTTGTCAATTACTTATTTATCCTTGTATTTGCCTATATAAAGGCAACTATTTCATTGTAACAATTAGCTTATGAAATATATGAAATTGGTTTATCCATTTGAGAGAACTTTTGTGTTCTTGAGTGTGCATTCTTTATCTAAGTCTTGGCAAGGGGATTTGATGGTGAATCAATTCAAGTTAGTGGAGTAATCCTTTAGGCTTGAAGTGTATTACTTGTCTTGGTCCGAAAATTGCAAGTAAGTGTCTTGAACTCTAATATTTGTGTTGGCCGAATTTTGCTTGAATTTGTGGTATGTTATTGTGTTGCATTGGTTGGAAATGGATCAGCAATAATTCTAGAATGATTGAAGATTTTAAGAAGTCTATGATGCATGAGTTTGAAATGACAGATCTTGGCTTAATGTCATATCTCTTTGGTATAGAAGTTATTCAAAAGGAAGATGGGATTTTCATTTGTCAAAAAAGGCATGCTATCTAACTTTTACAAGGTTTCGTATCATGATTGCCAATCCTATGAGAACTCTCGTGGACGTTGGAACCAACTATCCAAAGAAGATATGAAGCTCGGTTGATTCCATTCTTTTCAAGCAAATTGCTGGAAGTTTAATTATTTGACATGTACAGGCCTGACATATCTTATAGAGTTGGTTTAATTAGCAAATTTCTTGAATTTCCTCGCCAATCTCATATGAAAGTTGCCAAGAGAATTATGCGATACATAAAGGGCACTTTTGATCATGGTTTGTCCTACTCTTCATCTAACAATTGTGTTCTTGTCAGCTATTCAGATAGTGATTGTGGTGGAGACGTAGATGATTGTAGAACACATCTGGTTATTGTTTCAAAATGGAATACTGCTTGTTCATGGCCCTCTAAGAAACAATCAATTGTTGCTCTTTCAACTTGTGAAGCTGAGTATGTTGTTATAGCTTCAAGTGCATGTCAGTATTGTTGGTTACGCAATTTGTTGAGTCAAATTCATTGTTCATTGAAGGACCTATGAAGATCTTTGTTGATAATCCCTCTGCAATCCGTTTGGCAAAAAATTAGTTACACATGGAAGAAGCAAGCACATCAGCACTCGTTTCATTCTTGAAGCAGCAAATTGAAGAATAGTGATTGGTTAGAGTACTAAAAGTTTGAAAACTAGTTGCTGACATCTTCACCAAGCCATTGAAGTATGAAGCTTTTGCTAAGATGAAGTGGTTGCTGGAATGATAACTCCTCCAAATTTGGATTAAGGGAGGATGTTGGCATTAATCCCGATTCTACAGCATTCTTCCTTACTATTTTGAATAATCAATCTAATTTATTGAGTCATATTTTGGTGGATTATTTTAGTGGAGTCATGCTTATTCTACTGTTGCTATTTTAGTGACACATGAATGATGAAAATGGAGTCATGTAAGTTTGAGTTTTAGGTGTTTGGTTAGTAGTGCCTTAAAAATAAAATTCCAGGTGTCTTCACACTTTTAAATAATGGTCACTTTATGTGTGACTTTGTGTGATCATATTATTAATTTAACAGTAGTCATTCTCCTCTAAAGTTTAAGTCTTTCTTCTATTCTCTGTGTCTTCACAATACTTATTAACTCATTAAAGTAAATTCACCCCCACCATCATTTCATAAACTTTGATGGAGTAACCACTCTACCTTTCAACATGTGCCTTAATTCTTAAAATAGCCAAAACTTTAGATTTCCATTTCAGAAAGTAGACCCAAATTTTCCTTGTAAATCATCAATAAAGTAAGAAAATACCTATTGTACCATTTGACATGGTCATTGGCCACACACACATCAAATGAATGAGCTCCAATGGTTGTAATGCACGCTGTTCTTCCTGCTACAAAAGGCAATCTACTATGTTTCCTAAGAATGCAAGCCTCACACAGTTGTTCGGATGATGTAACTAGCAATCCTTTCATATATTGCCTTGAGCAAGTGCTTCAAACTGTGAAAATTTACATGACTAAAACGAAGATGCCACAACCAAGACTCATCTTTTATGATAACATTGAGCAGCATAAACATCACTGGCAATATCAACTCGAACATACGATTTTTTATTAAAGGAGCCTTAAGAATGAGTGTACCTTATGTATCAACAATGGAGAGTTGATTATACTCAAACACATATCATACCCCTTTTTCCAGAGCTGACCCATACTTAGTAGATTGCTTTTCATATCTGCACATAGAACACGTTAGAAATGTATTTGTGATCTCCAGTCTACAACTGATGAGGTTTCTTCCTTTTCCCATCATGGTATGGTATTTTCATCAACAAACTTGACCTTGAGTGGAATGATTCATCCAAATTAACAAAGAGATCTTTTTTACCACACATGTGATCATACACCCGTGTCAGAAACCAGTGATGGTTTGGTGATTCATTGGTTGTAGTAACCATTAAAGGCATGGTTTCCATGTCTTAGCTTTTTGTGCACAATTTACCCCTGATTATTCTCCTTAATCTACACTCACTAGCATAATGACCACGTTCGTGACATAGTAGCATTCAACATTAGATTTGTCATACTTCGTCTACTGCGACCACGGCCTCACCTTTATAATTTGTATTTTGTTGATGGCCAAAATCCTTCTTCTTTTGCATTATGCTGGTTGCCTCTACTCCATGATATTATTGTAACCACCACAGCCTCTATTGTTGGAGTAGAACCTCTACATCCACATCCTTTATGTGAGAACTATTATTCCACTGGTTTGTATGGCATGTTGCTCATCTTTGATAGAGACTTGCTTTGGAATGCTTGCTCTATTGGCTTCTCGATATTCTTCTCATTCATAGTGGTTCGTGGGCTTGCAACTATTGGATAACTCATCAACAGTCATTGCAGACAAATCTTACACTTCTTCAATTGCCAACACAACATGCTCAAACAGGGTCATAAGTGTTCACAAAATCTTCTCCACATTGGTCTGATCCTTTGCTCCTCTCCATAGATTTTCATTTGATTTGTCAAAGCAAGAACTGCACTTATGTAGTCAGTGATAGATTTAGACGATTCCATTTGTAAAAGTTCATATTGACTCTTAAAGTTTGAAGTCTCACCTTTTTAACTTTTTCTGCCCCCTTAAACTCATTAAGATATCCCAAGCTTGCTTTGACGATTCGGCTCTTGCAATCTTCTTAATGCATCATCATTCACTCCTTAATGAAAAACAATGCCTTCCTATCCTTCTTCTTGTTCTCTCGATAGGTGCTTTGTTGTGCTTCAGTTGTATTCTCACTAGGATCTAAGACTCCAGTCTCCACAACCTCGTGATAGTCAAAAAGCACTCTCATTTGAGCACTCCATCTATTATAATTTTTGTGCAAGACGGGTATTGAAAGCTAGACTGAGCCGTTCATAGCTTTTGGCTTTGATAACACTGAAGAAAAATAGAGACCAAAGAATAGGACAAGACTTAAACTTTAGAAAGAATGACTACTATTAATTAATAATAATACTTCACCAAGTCACACATAAAGTGACATTATTTATAATAGTTTGAAGACACCTGGACTTTTTTTTTAAGGCACTACTAACCAACACCTAAAACTCGGACTGACTCCACTTTCATCATTTACGTCACTAAAATAGCAACAATAGGTTGTGTTTGTTCATTATTCATCCAAATACTATCCTATCCATATATATTCAAAATACATATTTTTTTCAATATTCTCAAATTCAATCATATTCTATTCAACTCAAAATATTTAGATTTTTTTAACCCCCTAGGTTTGTTATTTAAATAAACACCTCCAATAAAAGTTTATAAATTGCAAAAACACCTCCCACATACTCCAAGCAGCTGGCCCCCACCACCGGAATGGCGCATGACCACTGGTTGTGGCTGGTAGGGCGCTGATCTAGCCTTTTCCAACCAGATCCGGTACACAAAAGATCTGGCCGTGATGGCCAGATCTGGTTGTCAACGACAGCCAAATCTTGGTCATCTGACGGCCAAACACGGCCATATATGGCCATCATCACAATTAGATCTTGGCAGGAAAATGCCAAATAGGCTCACTACCGACCAATCTAGATGATCGTGCATCATTCCGAAGACTTCCACCACCATCCAATGATGGTGGCCAGTTGCCTACAATACTAATGGGATGAGGTGTTTTTGTTAATTTTAAAACTTTTATTGTAGGGGATGTTTAGCTAAATTAACAAATACATGAGATTAAAATAATCTAAATGTTTTCGAAAAATGTTTTCTAAAAATTTACCAACACATTTCAAATTTAAATCATATTATCATAATACACACTACTCAACTTTGTCAAAATTATTTTAAGTACCGTACCAAACACAACCATGACTCCACTAAAACATAACTCCAATGATTGGATTGACTCATTCAAATAAAGGAAGAATGATGTAGAATCGGAGTGATGCCAATATATTCAAAATGAATAAAAAATGGAATCCATTATGATCCAAATGTTTACTTATATTCAATACATGTTTACTTATTGGAATTGTATTGAAACGAGAAAAATGGAAATTAATACATAGTCAATAAAGAATGAAAGTGGAATTCATTTTATCCAGTTTGTTTACTTATAAGATTAAATATTGAAGGAACGAAATCAAATGTGTGATATGTGGACAAAATAACCTCAATCGTAAAATATTTCATACAAGTTAAAAATTATTATTATATTTTTAAATAAAAATTAATTATATAAATATAAAAAATTAATACTATTCTAATTTTTATTTTTCTAAACTTTAATATAGTTATTCTTATTAAAAAATTTAAAGTGAAGATCAAATATTTGGGTATTCTATTGAATAAATCCAAAAGTGGAAGAGACAGAGGTTTTCAAGTATGGAAAGTGAAAGTGTTAAGTGAACATGGCAGTGGAGATCAAGGGTTGATTTGTAGTTGAATTGCTTTATAAAATCTTTATTTCTATTTAGGTATTTTTAACTTTTTGTATGGTTCTAATTTGGAACAGATCTGCCACATGGTTCCCACTCTACTGCACCGCTGCTACTTATCTTGTCACACTCGGACCCACCTCTCTCTCTCAAACGCCTCTGAGGCGCGTGGCCGTTGTTACTCCTCAAGGACCTCAACTCTCCCTTCAAATCCCCGAATCGATTAATCGAAACTGGCCCACAGTAGTAAACCTCGAGTGTTGCCCCTTTTGAACACCCCCGATTTTGGAATAACACTACCCTCCATATGTTTGTGCTTTTATAAGCCCCCTGTAGTTTCAGAAATATACACCGTACCCATGTGTTTGACCTTTTCTGAAGCACCCTCAAGTTTCGGAATGCAACTCAAACTCCCATCTGTTTGTTTTTTTTTTTTGTTTTTTTTTTTTTTTTTTTTTTCTTTGGTAGGGAGCACCAGCTAGATTCGGAAATGCAACTCAAACCCTCAATGTTTGTTTTTTTTTTTTTTTCACTTGTTGGTTTCGAAAATGAACGAAATGTTAACTATTCTATTTAAGTTTGAAGGACATACTTTTTACTATTCACCCCATATCAATCTAACATTCAAAACTTGATTGATCATAATTTTTATATTGAAAATGTTGAGATTTATTGGAAGAATGTGTGAACCTTTCACTCAAGATTTTGCATATCTTTCGCGTTAGAAAAACAGACAAATTGATTGGGTACCATTTAAGAATGATTCTCTTTTTTTTTTGTTTAGAATATTTCTTAATTCGTTTTCTTTTGTTTCTGTATTGATTATTTCCTTTTTGTACAGAATAATACTACATATTATATTATGATATATAATGCCCAATACGTTTTATTTATAATGAAATACATTTTTGTGTTGGAAAAAAATAATAATCATAAACCATCCTTGCTACTGTCAGGCCGATGGTAGCTTAAAGATTTTAATCAATCCCTTCCTAACATTAAACTTGACTGTTATTTGATCTTTAATAAAAAAATTAAAGGTCTATTTTACACTTAATTTAATATTTTACAAAATAATTGAATAAAATCAATGATTTACAATGTTATTATTAAATATCATATCAATAAGTGATAAATTAAGGAAATAAATATTTAATTTTTATAATATGTAAGAAGAATTGTATCATCTTTCTTTATTGATTTGTTTTTCTTGTAATGTTATTGTTTCCTTTTACACCCCATTTAAACATATAGTTTTTAATATTATCCATAAATCATAAAGAATTAACTTTTGTATTGACTGATTGCTCTTCTATCTCTCCTTTTTTTTTTCTTTAGGTTAAGTGGAGTGTAGTTAATGTGCATAACACACTCATACTCTATTCAATATTTATCTTTTTTTTTTTTTTTGACAATTTTAACCTTAATGAAAATATTAAAAATGACATAATATTTCTAAATACACTCATACTCTATTTAATATTTATCTTTTAGTTTTTACTTTAATTCTTAATCATAAACACTACCCCTAAATCTTCTAAATCATTGAAACAATTTTTTTTTTTATTTCAAATTTTCTTTGTTTGATTAAAATACATTATTTAGCTACGGAGAAAATAATTACACAACAGAATGAATTTGACTATGAAAAATAAACATAAGTTTTGAATTTGAAATTTGAGGAGTATAATCAAAAAAAAACTAATTAAGTTTGAAATTGAGTAAAAATTGTGTAAACTAAAACCCTAATTAAGTTGAAATTGGGGAAAAAATGTGCAAACTAAAACCCTAATAAACAGGGTTATTGTTGGTATTAAATGGGATTTACAGAGACATTTTAAAATATCAGAGGTACTTTAGCCGAGGGTTACAAATCACTTGATACTTGATAGGTTAAAATCAATTCTCTTTATTTTGTGCAAATATCCACATCAAAAAACTGGAAGCCCTTGTTTGGATGGGCCGCCTTAACTGGGCCCATAATCAGTTGGGTGGATCTTCTTCTTCTTTTCTTTCAATCCATTATTATTATTTTTTTTTTTTTTAAAATTTTGGGTTTTATGTTTGAAGTGTGGATCATATTAGAACTTCTATAATTTTTATTTTTAGTTTATTCGTAAATGATTGATCTTATATAAACTTGTTATATGTTATTTTCATCAACAAAACTTTAATAATATTATTAACAAACAAATATCAGTTGATAATTTTTTTTTTTTTTTTTTTTTGGGTGATCGAGAGGTGTGTGGGCTAGTTTGTGTACACCTCGACTAATCTCTGACGTCATGAAGTTAATCATTGAGTAAACCTTCCAGTGACCATTTCTATTAGCAATCGAGGGGATTCGAATTCAATACCTCTTAAGTAATACATCCAAAAATTACTATCGTCTCACCCGATCACTCAGAGGTGGTTCAGTTGATAATATTTGAGTTGCTTCAATTGATTAATTTTTATTTTAATTCGTGGGTGATTAGAAATATTTAGATGAGCAGCCTTGACTTTCTAGTTGAAAAGATGTTAGACCTTCCAAGAACAACAAATATTTCAACCAAAATGAATAATGTTTCTAGTATATTTTTTGGAGTATTGATGCTATACAAATACTAAAATATTAATGTAAAATTTATTGATGATAACACAGTTATTCGTGCTAAGCATTAATTAATCAAAATAATTAATAATACTTGGACGAATATAAGAGGCAGCCATGTCTTCATCTTCATACACCATTAATGTTTCCATATAGGATAATTATGCATCATTAGTTTATTTAATGAGCTTTTCTTTTATTTAATCCAAGTTTATTATGAAGCTGTTACATAATCATGCATGCGACTAAAAAACAACTAGTTAATCACAAATCCATATATAGATTAATGTAAGTTAAATCCTTTACTTGATTAAAAAATAATAAATTGGCTAATGATAATCTTTTTTTTTTGGCTAGTCATACGCGTTCCGATCACGTTGGTCGGCGGTGATGATCTTAGGTGAATTTTCAGATTAGAAAGAAAGAAAGAAAAATGTTTTCAGTTAAATATAGTTAGATAATTTGAAAACAAATCACACCCTCTTTTCATTTTTATACAAAAAATCTTATCTGAATTCAATTAATTTTCAAATTAGATAAGACAATAGAATAATGATCTAGAATAGTATAACAAAGAGGGGCTAAATTCCTCAATAACCTATTTCATTTGGCCTTGAGGATAACAACATTGAAAACATTTCATATAATTTATCTTTCGATTTCGCTGATAGAAACAAAAACCCTAATTTGACTTTTATTAAAATAATCCCAATAAAACGTCTTCATTATTCAATAATGTTAATTATAATCTTAGTTCAACTGATTAAAATTGATGGGTTGTAATTCTTAGTTTAAATTTGTGTCAACAAGTGACAAGAGCTCGACACTTTGGTTGTTATTATGCTTAGATTTGTTGGAATTGTTAAGAAGAAGTGCTTTTCCATTGTGTGATACAAATACAATGACATATTACCTAACCCTTTGATAATTTATAAGCATTGAATTTGTTGTACCGAAAAAGGAGAGTGACTCACATCCAACTGGGTTTGACCTTAAATGGCAAGCCTCAAGAATTTTTAAATGAATACCCCACCAAGGCCTTACTTTTAATAACCATATTAATTATATTTATAGAATAAGTAAATGCTAATCACCAATATTCTATACAAAGCGACTGATAAGTTATAACTCAGTTTCAACAAATCAAGGGTGGATCTCAAGCAACACCGAAATGACCAAAGAAAAAAGAAGCAACTTTTACTTGGTCTAATAAGAGCTTGTCAAGGGGAAAGAAAAAAAGAAAGTTCATGCATGAACAATATTCAAGAATTAATTAGATGAAGACTGCAAGTAATTATATGAAGATTATGGATTTGTATTAGGAGAAATTATGAAGTTTATTTAACTGGAGACCATTCAAAATGACTACTTTGACTGACTGGTTACTCAACACGGATTCTTCACCTTTTTTTTTTTGTTTTTTTTTTGGTTACTGAAAGTGTACTTTAACTAATCTCAGGATAATTAAACACAGATAAAAGTACAAAAAATCAAATAAATCACGATATTACTGTAATAAGTGATGTGAACAAGAAAACATTAAAACTCTTTTAAATTTGAGAAACTGAGTTTTCATTTTCATTTATGTCACATTAAGAAGTTGTTTGCTTCAAGAAACAAAACGATTCCGAAACACTGGTACAGATTCTGACAATGTGAAAGCAAGACTCAGAAAGGTACATGTTAATTCAACCAATACAAACAGTTCAAATCAACACATTGAAGTCACATCAAGAACAAGAGTAATTGAGAAGGAAAGATATTAAAATACAGAAGAACATGTACCAAATGGAAAATTATTCACACTTTCACACAGCCAAGTAAAATAATAGTATTCAGAGTCCCCCTAGCGCATACAAATCGGAAGTAATTACTGGCTAGGTAAAAGAAAAATGCCGCTATGACAAAGAATAAGGGGGAAAAAAAAAAGAAAAAAAACAAAAGGTTCATCAGTTTGAAGAGGATGAACCAAGAATTAAAAAACAATTAATGCACTAGACTATGAATAATAAAAATGGGGCCAACAAAGAAAGATTCTGCTCATCTTCTTCAGACGTCCTTTACTGAAGGTGGCGGTGCACCAGAATCCAGTGAGTAAGCCTGCTGGGACGACCCATCTTCCAAATCATGGATTAAACCACGGTCTGAGTCTGGCTCGGGTTGCAAGCTAGAATGGCATATCTCCTCAATCTGGCCTGTCACCTCGGTCATTGAAGGACGTTTATCTGGATATTGAACGGTGCAATTAATGGCAAGCTGTAAAAGCTGAACCATATCCTCCTCCACATTCTGGTACCTGAGAAGCTCGAGATCAAACACCTCAGAAGTCCACTCCTCTTTAACAATAGATTGAACCCATCTCGGGAGGTCCACTCCTTCCTCGTTCAAGAGGGCTTGGGTAGGTGCCTTCCCAGTAAGCAATTCCAGTAGCAATACACCAAAGCTGTAGACATCTGCTTTTTGGGATACCTTGCGAGCATCAGTCACCTCTGGAGCACGATAGCCATCAATTCGGTTGGGAGTAGAGGAGGGGCTTGCAAGATGAGCAAGCCCAAAGTCAGAGACACGGGCTTCGTAGGATTTAGATAAGAGGATATTAGATGACTTGATATTTCCATGGGAGATCGCTGGACCATGAGTATGGATGTACGAAATAGCTCGAGCAGCTCCAAGGGCAATGTTGGACCTGGTTTCCCAATTCAATGGAGTCCTACCACCACCTCTGTTTCCTGTTAAAAGATAAAATTAAAAGATATAAAAAGAGAGTAAAATCATAAATTTGTCTCACTTAGAACATGAACCATAACAATGAAGCTCATTTCTATTCAGAGAAATATAGACCACCAAAGAAATAGAAAATATTGAAACTCATAAATATACTGGAGTCTCAATCTGCCTAATACATAGTATTGATTTGAACCTTGAAACCTAGTCACCCCTAGAAAACTGAAGATTTGTGAGCCATAGACGTAAAAAATAGGTTCTGAGATCAGTTGCCGCTCTGTGAACGGCAGGAAAAAAGGAGCAAGCCCCTTAAACATACAAATACTCACAAAAGCACAAACTCTCATTATAGAGGTCTGGTACAAATAAGATGAGACAAGAAAAAGGAAAATGCAACTAAGAAGATTTACAAATTTAGTTGATGGCAGATCAAACTTAGGATTGCATTTAACTTAGAATTTTGAGTAGCCTTCTCTTTGGGAGTGAAATACAAATGAAGTTATGACAAACAAAAAGGTTTGGCACCAGAGATTCTTCAAATTTCCTTAATCTGAGACCAATTATTGGCACACATAACAAAAAGAAAAAAAAAAACAGAACTAAAACTTCAATTCCAGATGACAAAAAAACATAGTAATTAGTTGTTGATGCAATTTCCCTTTTCTTTCTGAAAAATTGCCATCAACACAGGTATATTATACACTATCACGCGATTGGTAGGTTTATATATCAATCAATGAAAGCAAACAATAGGAAAAACTAAATTAGATCGTGTATTCACAGAAAATTAATGTTAGCAGACCGGCAGGCCCACATGAAGTACTGCTATAATAGAAAACTAGAAGGTATTACCAGGGAAAGATTGAAAAAAAGGCACAATGAAGATATAATAACACTCCATGAATCAACATGGCCTAAAGTGAAAGAAAATGCAATCATAACAAAAAAAACCAAAAGGCAAAACATAATACAAAAAGAGGAAAGCAAAGAGAGAAAAGGTGATTACCATGTAAAAGTGCAGATAAGCTTCCCACAGGCAAGTAATCATACACAAGAAGCTTTTCATCCCTGCTAAAGTAATAGGCCCTTAATGGAACCAAATTCTCATGATCCATTGCCCCCACCACCTCCATCTTCTCGCGAAATTCCTTCTCCGTCACCGTCACATCCTTCAATCTCTTCACAGCAACCACCAGCCCCATTTCCAAAGTGGCCTTATAAGCTGTCCCAAATGTGCCTTTCCCCAACACCTCAGCTGATGCCCGCAACAAATCCTCCAAATCAAAAACCTTCGCCCCCTTCCCAAAGAACACCAAATTCTTATCCCCGCTACTCTTCGCCTCGGCCTTCACGGCCCCAGACAAATCAGTACTCGTATTCTCACTACTCACTGATGTCTTTTCCCGGGGAATTTCAATCTCAGTTTGCTTTACCGTTGCACTAGCTGGTGCTATATCTTTTGAACTTGTTGTCTTATTATCACTCTTCTTTCTTCTACACAAACATATCAATAAAGCTAAAATTATCAAAAATCCAATCACCGATCCAATAACAATCCCAGCAATCGCTCCACCGGACAATCCATTATCACTCTCAGTACCATTACAAGACACCAACGGTTTCCCACAAAGTGTATTTCCCTGAAACGCACTTATATCCATTTTTGCAAACCGTTTTGGGATCGACCCATTTAAGTTATTATTCGAAACATTGAATTGTTGAAGAGGAGGCAAATCCAGTTCCGGGATTGACCCAGTTAAGTTATTATCCTCCAAATAAAGAGTCCTTAATCTCGTCAAGTTATTAAAATTGGGAGAGATCGTACCAGTGAAATTATTATCCGCTAAATTCAACCGAATCAAGTTCTGTAAAGTGAACAAGAACTCCGGAATTTCACCGGAAAACATGTTCCCTTGCAAGTACAAGTTGCGAAGATTCGAAAGCTGAGCAAGATCAGCCGGGACCGACCCGTGCAAGGCGTTGTAACGAAGAGACAAACTCTGAAGCTGAGACAGGTTCCCAATGGCGACGGGGAGCTGCCCGGATAGCCCCATACCGGGAAGACGCAACTCAGTGACTCGGTCTTGAGTACAAAACACTCCAACCCAATTGCATGGAGAGCCAGAAAGGTTCCAGAGAAGCGAACGGCCGCCTACGGCTGAACGTAGAGCGACTAAAGCCACCCTGTCGGAGGCGAGATCTGAGTCCACAATCGAGAAGAAAGCTAAAGAGAAAACGGTAAACACTAGGAAAAGCCATTGTTCATCAGGTTTCATTGTTTTCCTTTACGAATGAAACCTTAAGAGTAAATATAAAACGTTATATGGAAGGGATAAAGAAGGAAGGTGATGAAACAGAAAGAGAAAAGGATGAAAATTTCATGTGTGTGTGTTTCAGGTCAGGAAGTGAAGGAGACAGAGAGAGAGAGAGAGAGAGAGATGTGGTTAACGTTGTTGAAGCTGGGGTGTGTGTATTTTTAAAACAATAATAATAAAATAAGAAGAAAGGAAGGTTCAGCTTGTTCAGTTGTTGAGTTGGCTTTGTACAGTTGTGGTTCTAGTTCATTGGGCAGTGATACAGCAGTTAGGCGTGATAATTAAGGCAGTGCAGGTGCGCTTGTTTCTCGGAGCGGGAGGGTAAATTTGTCTTTCCGGATCGTGTATTTGTAAATTAACAGAGAAAGAATAGTAATAAAAATCCAGAAAATCAGAATAATAATCACATATTAATAGATCAAAACTGATACGATATGATATAAGTTACATCCATCAACCGGCTGGGACGGACCAAGTCAAAACTGATTGTATGCCAAAATGGTACGCCTAAATACAAGTGACAACAGCAACAGCAACAAGTCGAAACACAATAGTGAGCGGCATTGCAATTCAATTTTAATTATGAATTATTAGTTAGTAGGTTACCTATAATCCAGTATGAAATCATTATATTTAATTATATAATTAACTTTTCGATCTTTCTTTCTTTTTTCCAGCATTGAAAACTTTGACTATTGAAAGTTGTACAGAAGGTCTGTATGGAATATTTAATTACCGACTAGTCCTTTTGCTTAGTTGTCTTTTATTCTTGTGTCTTTCACACCACTTTTACGTTCAATCTATGCCCATCTCCAAGTGTAAATACTTCGCCACTAAGAATAACATTTCTGAATACTTCATCACTCAATACATGAATTTTTCATATCTATATTAGAATTTCAAATACCTTTCTTGTGAAATTCGATATACCTATTTCATCTAAATAATATTACACTTACAACTCAATCTCACAATCCCTACGTAATAGTTCGTAATGGATCTCGCCTGTTTAATTACTGCTCCCCCGTTTGCTCAATTACAAACTATTCAATTATGAGTTGACCAACTAACCAATTGTTCATCTGTTCCCTTAGCATTCATTAAATCACAAACGTCTTATCAACTTCTAAAAACTATTAATTACTTTGATTTTTTTTTTTTTTAATCTTTATAATGTATGTTTTATATTTTTAAGGGATTTGTTTGTAATTTCAAAAGTATTAGTTATGAATATCATTGAGTGCTTAAAGGTCACCATTATGTCAAAAAAAAAAAAAAAGATAAAATGAAGTATAAGTTTGAAGCGTGGTCAACAATTATTGTAAATAATGTAATATCAATGTCAAGATTTTATCCTAATATTGTAGAACCCTTTTTAGTATTTCATATTGGATTTAAATAAACAATGCTCCTCCTACATTTATTCCAAAGATTTATTTGTAATAAATAAGATTGTTATTGCATTTGTATAATTAATGGATTCGTCTTACAACTTGGAACAAGCCCTTATAAAAGATTTGCAAGCAAATTTTAGCTGTTGAACAAAGTCAAGCTCAATTCTTATTATTATAAACACCGCTATCGGATTTTTATCCCATGCCGGAAGACATAACTCATGAGGAGGACAAAACTTTTTGATTTGGTTTTTATTCAGGACAGACAAGAAATCGGCGATTTGACGTGGCAACATCCAGTTGGCTGAATGTTCTGTAATCTGTATGGCTGGGTCCTCATCCATCAATGCTTCAACGCCTTCATTTTTCGTGGGTCCTCTTATTGTCCGTATAAATAAATATACGCCCACGTTCTCTTTATTTAAACTCATTTATTGATTACTGAGAACTTCTTGCGTGCAGGCGCCCTCATCATATGTTCCTGCACTAAATCGTAAAATGAAGGCAATTTGGCCTTTGGGGTTCTTTTTGTATAATGTTACAAGTCAGCTTTATTTTTTTCTTTGTACTTTCTCCACCGTCCATCTCACTTTAGGACCGATCGGTTATGCAAGTTCCAGGTGGGACCACCACAATATATCCTCAATAATTAATTCCTATTTATGCTTTTATTGTTTAGACTAATCAACTGTCAATTTTGCTGTTAAAATTTAATGATAATAATACCCTTCATTGCTCTCATTGTCATATTAATGTCACCCTCTCTTTATAAGCACAATTTTTTCAACATTAATTATCCTTTAAAACATAGGCTCGCCATTAAATATATGAATTCAAAGAAGGCATACAAAGGTAATTACTACTCTTGATCTTTATGATTTTTGTCTCTCTCTCTCTTTTTTCATTCTTTTTTTGTTTTTTTGTTCTTTCTGACATCACTTTGTAATCCTCTTTATTATCCTTGTTAGGATAACATTTTTCTAAATATATATGCTCATTCTCTTTTATATATATATATTCTAAAATTTTCTTAAAATCTCATATCAATAAGTTGTCAAAAGGAAAATTTTATAATTTTCATAATAAAAAATTTGGCTAAATTTTTATTTTTATTCATGTCATTAATGGTCAAGATTTAAAAAAAAAAAAAATCATACATTAAATCAACTTAAAATATAAGAGAGATGTTATTTGCCCTTCACATTTTATCTTAATTAAAACCCACTTTTATAAAAACCCATTGAATTTTTTAAAATCATCTAAATATATAAATAAACCCCATACATTTCTAAAGTACCCTTCTTATTGATATTTTAATTTTAATTATTTATGTTATATTTTATTAAACCTTTATTTAATATAGATTTGGATAACAATCACTTTTTTTTTTGGTCTCATGAGAACTTGTTTTTATATTAAATTTAAAATATTGTAACTAATTTAATTATAAAATGGAATATTGTTGAATTTGTCTTTTTTTTTTTTTAATAATCAAAAATTCTTTTTCAATCAATATTTTATGTGATTTGGGAAAAGTTTAACATAATTGTTGAAATTGCGAAACAATTTAAGAAATATTTACATCATTCAAAAAGATAATAACACATTTTTTTTGTTTTGTTTTATCAATAAAAAAAAAAGGAAAAAAAAGAAAAACAAGTTGAAGTAAAAATAAGAAAAGAGACATTGATAAATATTGATTTAAAATAAGGTTTTATAATTTATAATGGAAATTAGGGATCTTACATTGATTATAATTATTATTTTAATTTGTCTGAGTTAGTCATCTTAAAAAGGATAAAATGTGTAATAAAATAAATGGTGAGGGGCCGCTGAGATAGCATCACTTAATGTTTTTCCAATAATAGTTAGTTTTTGAGTAAACAACTTTTTCCCACCCAAGGTTTTCCGTTAAATTTTCCATCCAAAAGTTTCAAAATACCACTTTCTCACCCAAAGTTAATATTCCGTTACTATCCAAAGCCTATTCTGGCCGATTCCGATGGCAAAAATTCTCTCTATCACTATCATTTGAACCATCTGATATCCTCTTTACAAAACTCTTTTCGTTTTGACACCTGATTTTTCATCGATCGTCGGTCACCTTAAAACTATATTATCTTTTTGTAGCAGTAAATAATAAAAAATATTGCATGGAGAGTTAAATCATACACGCAATCACGCAATTTACATTGAAAAATCTCACTTGTGTGCATAAGTATTAAATTTATTTATTAAGCAGTAAGTGATCTCATATGATACTTGATCCATAATTTAGTTATTTTTCATTGTAAATATTGTTATTGACAAACTGCTGTCCTTGTAAAGTTTAACCCCAGATTATTAATATATTATACTTATTATATTTAATTATTTAACCTTGTTGGTAGCTTATTGTTTCTACCGAATTCGCGTTACAATATAGTAATAATTTAAAAAAAAAGAATTAAGTACATCAATCAATTGGTACAACTATGTAATCATAAATCACAACACCAACTACATATCGTAAGGATTAATTAGTGGGTCCTTTTTTCTTAATTAACTAATTAAAACTTTGATTATTTAAATTATTGAAAATTAATTAAATGACTTGAGGTATTAGTTTTCTTAACAATGCAATCATTAGATTACACTTTGAAGAATGAATTGATTAAAGATTTTGAAGTTAACAACAAACTTAATTAAAGGAAAAGAAAATAATTCAAATTGTGGGTTTAGGTGAAAGATAACGAACTTCCCAACAACCTTTTTAAATTAGCTGGAAATTGTTTTTGATTATTGCCTCCTCGTTGTGTTGATTCCGAGATCTTATTATATTCAATTAAAACAAAAAAACTTGAAATTTTAATATGATTTTTTTAAGTTTAAAAATAATAGCATGTGGCCGGGGTAACAAACAATAATTAATAGGAATCATAATTATTGATTGATAATAAATTATTTATACGCGAGATCTGAGGACAGGGAATACATATTTTAATTAAAACTCGTCCATTTGTGAAGTTTTATAAGTTAAATATATGAAGCAGATTATTAGTATTCTTAATTAAAACGTGAGAACTAGTAATAATGATGATATTCTGAGTGAAAAGGATGGAGTATTTTCTTAGATATAGTAATGTAAAAATATCTATATAATGGTGTTTTACAAGAGTTAAACAAGTTAAAAATTAATAACGCTTTCGACAATTTCAAAATGGAATTGCGGGAAAACGATGTTGGCTTATTAAGTCAGAACCCCTTTTTTGTGTGTACTAGGATTAGATAGAGTTATTATAATATTTTTCACACTTTTTATCACAACTATAATTCAAAATTTTCATGTAGCACTTAAATACCCCATTACCCAATGTTTTAATAACCAACCTGGGGGCTCAAACCGGGTGTCCAAACGTCTAAAATGCAGCAAATACACTCTTGAAAATTTTTTAAGTTCTTACATGTTTAAAATTTAGCAAACACATCCCAAATACAAATCGATAGTAGATTAGTTGGCAGCGGTGACACACCAAATGTAATCCCAATCATCATTTAAACTATTCCCCAAAAAATCTACTTAAGATCTAACCAAAATCAGTTCGATTTCGACCAGATCTTACCACTGTCAATGTCGACAACTCAGGCCATATCTCACCACTGGCAGCATCAACAACCCTCCACATCACCACGAAAATACTCCCCTTAATCTCTTGACCAAAACCCATCTCACTCCACCCTCATTCGCCTCGCCAATCACCAGTAACGACTATTGCCATCACAGGTTTTTTTCGATTTCCGATCAATTCACTCACTAGAAATCACCTTCGTCGTCACCATTGTACTCACAGACATTTCCTCTTCAAACTCTCAACATCTCAACATTTAATTGTTCGCTGATCATAATCCCAATTTTTAGGGTTTTCAATAAATAGAAAAATTGATAACTCAACCCGATGAAGGCCCCAGGTCTTGATTGAACCGATTGGGTTTTAAAACATTGCCATTACCCACTAGATTTTACTATTACTCTAATTTTACTTGATCTTTATAAATTATTCATATATATCAGAGTTTTGGACTTATATCCAAACATAAAAACCTAATCACTTAGATTACTCTACCAATAATTCTTACTGACTGTGTTTTTCAATGAGATGATAGATGATAAAAGCATAAGTTGATTAAATAATGTGAACATAACTCTTTTTTCCAAGTAATAAATTCAACTTAATAATTATAGTCTTCGAATACGTAATGCTTTACAAAACCTCATCTTCACGACATATTTATAATATTAAAATTTAATAATTATACTCAGATAGATACGTGCACTAGTTTGAGTGAGATTTATTTTTCATTACAACACATACTACACGAAGAACTGTTGTTATTCTTAATCCATGGCCATTTTCAAGAGCTTAAATCCTAGAGCTTGCTAGTAATGTTTATATTCCTAACTTTATTGGGCTTTGGGCTTGCATCTTTTGGAACGACAACAGTGAGAACACCATTTTCCACATGGGCCTTGATCTGATCCAACTTCACATTTTCCGGCAATTCAATTTCTCGAGAAAATTCTCCTTTTCCTGTTCCTCTTTCAGCTACATGCCAAACCGTGTCTTTCCCATTTTGCTCCTCTTTACTTGCCTCTCCTGTTATCCGCATTACGTTCCCATCTTCTATTTGCACCTTTATGTTCTCTCTGCTCAATCCTATTGATCAATCAAACAAAAATGTTCAATCAAATAAATTCCACCTAAATTCAACACAAAACCCATTTATAAAATCATGCGTATGGAAAATAGGAGAGATTACCTGGGACGTTGATTTTGAAGATGTGGGCATTTGGAGATTCAGCAATCATGAGGGCGGATGATCCTGACCATTCACGGAAGACAGGAGGGCTCAGAGAAACGACGAAATGGAAAAAAGTCAGCCATTGGACTGTGAATTGATTCAGAATTATAAGTGTTTGATCGTGGAGTTGAAGAGATTGGGTTCTAGTTTTATTTATAAGTTGGTTGCAAGAGTCGTCTTTGATCCGCAGAATCTTCGTTGCGTCTTATCCTCTGTTTCTAGTTGTTTTCCAGTACTTTGGAGAAGATATTCATAATTTTATACTGTTTTTTTTAAATATTTGGTCAAAAAAAAAAAAAAAAAAGCCTAAAGGCAAAGCCCAAGAATAAAAGAACTCAGCCCATAAAAGTAAGATGTTCTAGGGGCCTAATCAAAATGCCTTTTAAGATTGTCTCATGACTCCTAAACTTGAGGCACAAGCTAGGCACCCATGCCTAAGAACTCCTATAAAAGCACATGCAATTGATTATGAGTTTTTTGTTTTTGGCTTATGCATTAAGTTTAGGAGTCATGAGGCATTAAGTCGATGCCGGCAATCGTGTTTTTACCCAGATCAAGGGTGCTTTTGTTAGATTTTAAAACTACAGAGACTAATAAGTATTTATTAGTGGTGTTTTTGTTAGATATGACCCGGTTGCTTGATTGAGTCATGGACCGGTTTGAGTTTGAAAACACAACTCCAAATTATTGAAGCTAATGGGGTCTTGGATTTGCCTCCATTTGTTTTGTAAATGAAGGTGAGAATAGCTTTTGGGACCCTTAGATTCAGCTTCATGTCCTAAAAAAGTTGGTTGTGATGTGTGGTGTCTCCATGAGCAGTTACGGTTGTGCCTCCAATAACTAAGTAGTCATGGGTTTATGGTTGATTTTTCATTAGGATCAGTGTCCATATTGAATGAGTTGAAGCTGGTGCCATACTGCCATGTACCTTTTGTTAATTGACGAGGCATTCCTTTTAATGTCAATGTTTGAACAAAAAATGTGATGCCTAAACCAAAAAGGTTTTATTTCCCCTTAATCACAAAAGGTACAAATTATCTGAACTTTGATGGCAGTTCATAAATTAAAGAGTAAAATAAGAAAATAATATGGTAATAACACTACTCTTACAAAGGCATATACAAAGAGACTTTACAAAGTGATGTGGCAGGTGATGTGGCAATGCCATGTCATCTACTACATCATTACTTGCCACGTCATCAGTGAATATTTTAATCCAAATGTATCAATCTTCTTTTCCATGCTTTCTCTTTCGCGCTCTTTCTCCATCACCATTTTTGGCACTGTTCTTCTCCATCTCTATCACTCTCTTCATCTTCATCGCTCTTCTCCATCTCCATCTCCATCGCTTTCTTCATCTTCGCGCTCTTCTCCATCTCCTCTCTTCATCTTCATCGCTCTTCTCCATCTCCATCGCTGTCTTCATCTTCGTGCTCTTCTCCATCGCCTTGTTCTCTAGAAGCTGCTGAGAGGTAATCTTCATACCTTACTCTTTATTTAATTTTATCAAATGAAAGGTACATGGGATGATGTAAAAGTGCATCTCCAAAGGATTTTTTATATGATCCGAACTTTTTATTATAAAGAGTCTATTTATAAAAACAAGAGTCTAACAACTTTATTATTTAAATATAAATTAAAGAGCGAGTTTGACTCTCCATATCTAAAGAGTCAAATTTCACTTTCTATCATAATTTTAATTAATTTTTTATGTATTTTATTTATTAATTATCTCTTATATTAAGTATTTTTCTTGAAAATAAAGAGCGTTTTCAATTTAATGAGCCTATTAAATTATATTTAAAATAAAGAGCACTATTAGAGATATTCTAAGTAGGATTAAACTAGACTATAAAAACGTATTCATATATGGGCTAAATAGCTCTGCCCACTCTTACTTCAAATCCATCATCAGTTAAATATTAAAGAAATATAATATATAAATAACAATATCAGTTATTAACATTAAAATAATTATTTTTAACTTAACAGTACATAATTACTAAATTTTGTAATAAAAGTTTTAAAAACCCTTTCTTTATCAAATCAAGGGATCTATTCGAGTTGGACTGTTGGTTCTGGTAAATATATCGCAATTTTCATGAGTTTTATATTTGATAATATTATATATAACGTTATTAGTATATGTTGAAAGTCTAAAACATTTTATGTCGAGAAGTTAAATGAAAAAAAAAAAAATAATAATAATAATAGAAAGGGTGGTTTTTATATGTTGATTTAGGTTGTGTAATTTTTGTGGAAAAAGATAACTCGATGATATATTTTTCAAAACCTATCGTTTGTGTTTGATAATTGCTGATTCTTTCCTCGGTATTGAAGCAACTGTATGAAGAAATACGATAAGTTTATGATGATTTGCAGATTGGGATTCGAAGTTGCAGCAGTTTCCCTTAAGGTTTGCTGATGCTGCATATAATAAAACCAGTGGAATGCTTTCAACTCTTGGAAATCCATTTACTCGAATAATCAGTCCGAAGGTTTTGCAATATGTTTCCCTTTTTCTGATTATGTAAATATATACATTATCAAGACGTTTAAGTAATGATATAGCCTGATCATGGCTTATTGCTCTTTTTCCTAAACTTCCTTATTGTTTGTGTTAGTTTTTAACTTCTTAATGTATGGTAGCATCTTTTAGTTTGATAAATCTTTGATTTTTAGTAATTGCCACATGGGTGCTTAGATGTTTACTTTGATAGAGAAGCATCAAGAATGTCACATATGTAGCAGTATTTCTTACATTGCGCTGGCATACATGAAGGAGATGAGCTGATTATTTTCAAAATTGGAAAAAAAAATTTGATTAAACTCAAAGCTCCGACAATCTCAATCTAGCTCTAAATTAAGTTTATCATAACGTATAAGAAATTTACCGAGAAACAACTATCTAAATCAATTTATTTTATTTTTAAAAATTTTAATAATAATAAATTGACAACAGTGAACTCTGTTATCCGGTGAGTCAAAAAGTCTTCGACATCGTCTTCTACTTGAAACAATTCAGACAAACCCATCACCAAAATCGCTTCACTTTCTCAGTCTCTTCAATCCTCTCTCTTCTGCAACTAAAACCCATCTCATAACCCCAAAAATGAAGCGAAAGAAATGGTCGGAGCTAGAAGAACAGACCCTTTTGTCAAACTACTCCGATCTCCTCAACACCGGTACACTTTCCAAACACAAGACCCGAGAGGAGAAATTTCGCCCCATTGCAGACCACGTTAATTCTACTCACCATCTTCAAGACCCCATCACCTTCCCCTTCAAGTGGTCCTGGCGTGACGTCTCCATCAAAGTCCAGAATATGCGGCATCAGTACCTGAGTGTCAAACAAAAGATCAGAATTTCTGATGATGAGTTTAATTGGAAAATGGTGAGAATCACTGGGAGAATTTCATGAAGTATAAGGAGGTTTTGTTGACAAAATAAAAAGAAAGAGACAAATAGTGAATGACACAAAAGACAAGAATTATTTATTGCTTTGCTGCAAAAAAAAAATACAATGACTCAAAAGCAAACTGCTCTATTTATGGAGCTAAATGCCAAACGGCTATATGCCTAAAAATTATCTAACCACTAGCTCAGCCAGTAACTCCTGCATAAGCGCCCAAAGACTAGGACTTGCAACATTATCAATTTAAGCATTATCCCACTAATAACAGACTCCAATGGACTCGGACAAAACAATACTCATAAATAACAAAGAGACTTAATCAAATAAACTCACGTGACTCAACATTCTTTCCCTTAAACTGAAAGATTTTCAAACAGTCAGTTTAGACAATATTAATAACAAAAATTATTCCTGAAACTGGTCATTCCAAAGTGCGTACACCGAGCAATTTTCGTAGCTTCTGAAATAAAGGCACTTTGAGAGGTTTAGTGAATATATCAGCAACTTGGTCTTCACTTCTACAGAAGCTAAGATCAATGATTCCATCATTGGTGAGATTTCTTAAGAAGTGATACTTCACATCTATATGTTTACTTCGCCCATGTAAAACAGGATTCTTGGAGAGCTTAATTGCTGAACTGCTGTGACAATTAATTTGGGTTGGTCCTTGCTGCTTGAAATAGAGCTCTTCAAGAACTTTTCTCAACCAAATAGACAAGCACATGAAGTTGCAGCAACGAACTCGGCTTCGGTTGTTGATAGTGTGACAATTGGTTGTTTCTTTGAAGACCATGAGACAACTCCTGAACCTATCATAAAGACATAACCTGAAGTGCTCTTTCTATCATCTTGATCTCCAGCATAATCACTATCCGTAAATTCAATTAAATTTGACGTTTCTCCTTTCTTGTAAAACAACCCATAACCAGCAGTCCCTTGCAAGTATCGAAAGATTCTTTTTGCAGTTAAAAGATGTATCTCCCTCAGGCATTCCATGTATCTGCTAATAAGACTTATCCAATTAAATTTGACGTTTCTCCTTTCTTGTAAAACAACCCATAACCAGCAGTCCCTTGCAAGTATCGAAAGATTCTTTTTGCAGCTAAAAGATGTATCTCCCTCGGGCATTCCATGTATCTGCTAATAAGACTTACAGCATGCATTATGTCAGGTCTCGTAGCTGTTAAATACATCAAACTCCCTACAATTTGCTTGTAAAGAGTGCTATCAATCTTCTTTCCTTTAGGATCTCGAACAAGCTTCAAACCAACTTCAGTAGGTGTGCTAACAAAGTTGCAATTTTTCATTTGAAACTTGTCCAAAATGTCTTGCACATACTTCTTTTGGCAAATAAAAATTCCAGCTGCAGATTGCACCACTTCAATGCCCAAAAAATAATGCATTGTCCCAAGATCAGACATATCAAATTCAACCATCATAGATTGTTTAAATTTGTCAAACATGGCACTATCATTTCCAGTGAAAATAAGATCATCAACATATAAGCAAACAATGAGCAATTTTCCTCTATCTCCAGTCTTTGTAAAAAATGTATGCTCATATGGACATTTGTTAAATCCCTCTTTAGAAAAATAAGCATCTATACGACTATACCAAGCGCGTGGCACTTGTTTTAGCCTATACAATGCTTTTTTGAGTTTATAAACCTTATTTTCAGTTCCAAGCTTCACATAACCAGGAGGTTGATCAATAAATACCTGTTCTTCCAAGTTGCCATGTAAAAATGCTGATTTCACATCCAACTGGAAAATAGGCCATGAGTTTTGTGCCGCCAATGCAATTACTAGTCTGATTGTGTCATGTCTTGCAACTGGAGCGAAAACTTCTTTGTAGTCAATGCCGAACTCTTGTTTATAGCCCTTAGCGACTAAGCGTGCCTTGTACTTGTCAATTTCTCCATTCTTCTTCAATTTCGTCTTGTATACCCACTTCACACCAATGCTCTTTTGCCATTTTGGAAGCTCTGGCAACTCCCAAGTGTTGTTTCTTTCAATGGCTGCTATTTCTGCATCCATAGCCTGCCGCCACTTCGACTCTTTGACAGCATCTTTGAAAGCTACAGGATCACAATCTGAAAAAAGAGCAAAATGTGTAAGTGGGTCTTCAGATGGATCATTCCCAGGTATCTCATAATCAATCATCCATGCTGGTCTTTTTTAACTCGTTGAGGTCGTTCATCAGCACTATTAACTCCAGTTGGGCTTGGAAGGTCTTCTTCAATTAGTTGTTGCTCGTTTTCCACCAGTTGTTCATTCTCCACGGGTTGTTGCCTTTCTTTTTCTACATCAAAGTCTGCCANGCAAAAACAGAAACCAGGAAATGTTACTACTGTAATAAGACAGGCCACCTAAAGAAAAATTGTTTTGATTGGAAGAGAAAACAGAAACTAGGTAACACAGAGAGCAACCTAGCCACCACTAGTAACCAAATGGATGAACCAGAAGTCCTAACAGTGTCAATATCTGACACTGCAAAGGAATGGGTGTTAGATTCTGGTTGTACTTTCCATATGAGCCCTAATAAGAGTTGGTTCCAAGACTTTAAGGAGTCTGATCATGAGACTGTGTACATGGGAAACAACCAAGCATGTAGGGTTAAGGGGATTGGCTGCATTACCCTTAGGTTAAATGGGGGAAAACTAATAAGGTTGACCAAAGTTAGATATATACCTGACTTAAAGAGAAACCTCATATCATTGGGCACCCTAGATGAAGCAGGCTGTTGCTATAAGGCTAATAGTGGGTGGTTGAATGTATATAAAAATGAGAATATGGTGTTGACAGGAGAAAAGAAAAATGGGCTATATGTACTTTGTGGTGGTTTTTATTCTGACTGCAACAGCACAACACTTGGGTCTCAAAATTTATCAGTAACAGAAAGGTGGCACTTAAGATTAGGTCATATGAGTCAGAAGGGAATGGA